ATTGTGAGCAGTTGAGCAGAGAGCACAGCTTGTCCAGGTCCCTTCACACATGCACATACAGGAATAAAACATTCAAAGCTACAGCTTGTTCAAAACCCCCACAAGACTGAAAAACAGCAGAAGTATTAAAAGCTAATTGTCTACGTGTTTGACACAACCTGCATACACAAATCACGGCTTTGCAAATGAGTGGGAGAATTTGTCAAATGTGAAGATGCTCTGGTCAAACAAGGCCAAAATGTCACATTTTGGCTTCACATAGCACTGCATGTAATCTTGAAGATACATGTGGCACCATGCTGCCACATGGTGGTGGCAGCATCATGCTGTGAGAATTAAATCTTTTGGAAGTACTGGGAAACTGGTCAGAGTTCATTTAAAGATAGGTGAAGCTAAATATCGGGAAATCAAAGACAACATGTTTGAGGCTGCAAAATAATTGAGACTAGTTGATTAGCAAAGCCTAGCTGAAATGCAGATCTCAATTTAGTGAACAATCTGTGGCAAGCTTTTTTTTTAAATTTACTCCTGCGGAGTACAGGAATAAACTACTCAAAAAGAGTGTGTTACAGTCACTTAACACATTAATACATTTAGCAGAGTCTTGACTACAACTTTTTCAAAACTTGCTTAAAAACTTCAAAACAGCTCAAACATTGAAACATGTTTATGTGTTTCACAGACACTCAGATCCATATATTATCAGGACAACGAGCTGCGACAGTCTGACAATAACTCGCAGACGTCAGAGATCATCACCTTAAAATAAGTGTTGCCGTATGTAATAGAGCAGGATTCACAGCGGGTAAATTACCGACTGCAGATAGACGAAACTTGCTTGTATATGTGTGCATGCATCTAGTTACTAAACAAAGGTGAAAATGATGAAATAGAATTTGAGCAAATGCAAAGTCACGCACACAGACTAAATGAGGCCATGCAGGCCATGCCTCATAGCTCACTAAATCAGTGCATTAGTATTCTGAGATCTGACAATTGTCTGTTTCTGTGGTGCTGGGAATTAAATATGCATCAGCTTCAAGCAAGCGCAGAAGGCTCAGCAAAGGGCAATTTCTTTCATTTAACTACTGCTTGTCCATCAGACATATAGAATAGAATTAGATTCAGAGTTTTTGCTTTTCTAAAAACACGAAAGTTTGTTTGTTTGTTTTTTTGTTGAACAGAGTTGATGTGAAAATGTCAGACTAAAGTCTTGTATAAAAATATCCGGATAGTGTTAAAGTAAATGTGGCAGTTCTCAACACGGTTTCTAATTCCTCTAGGCCTATAAATGACTTTGGACATGCATTTAATTTGTTTACTTCAAGGTTTTTGCCCTCCTTACATAACATTTCCCCTGCTCAGCAGCAGCAGCAGCTTGAAGTCCCAGTCTTGGGTTTTGTATTTCCAATCCAGTACCACAAGATGTCACTCACTTTAAACAAGCAACACTAGTTATAAAGAAAATATTATCTTTACATTTAAGTTTTTGATGCTGTGATGTCAAATCTTCTAAAGATTTGATGTCACAGCTGTAGGATTTCCATCTGTGAGAATGTGACTGAATAAACTTTTCTTAGAGGTAGTGAGAGAAGCAGAAGACTGCTTTAATTAAGTAAATAAGTTCTTTGACCGTATATGTGACTATTTTCATAAACAACATGCACAAAAAAACTAAAAGACTGCACTTTTATAATTTCTACAAATCCTACTGGGACTTTTTTTTTGAGTGAAAAAGAATGGAAAATCTGCATCAATGTGAAGTAAATCCTACTAAAAATAAGATGGTAAGCGAGAAAGATGTGAAACTGTAGAACAGCAGAAATAATGAAGTGCCAAGACCACAATGTAATCTGACAAAAGAAAACAATGGCTGCTTTCATCTACCCCAGTGAAACTGAAGCTCAAAGATTTATCATAACTTTAGACTCAAAACAATCAGCACAAAACAATCAGCACAAAACAATCAAACTGAAACTCTAAAGTGTGTTTTAGTAGAAACCTTTTTAGATGAGAATTAGATTAAATGTTTTGACCTAATGATTAGTTACAAATAAAAACTTTTCTTGGAAATTATTTGCCACCTTTGCTTTTTTTTTAACCTTAGTTCTTCTATGCTAAACTTTCAGGTATGCAATGGTGCCATCCCGGATGAAACATTATGTATCAATCATGGAATACATTTCTGTAATCTACTTGTACTCAGTTGTAAGGTTACTTAGTGTTAACTTAGCTTGACCAGTGGTCATGATCTGTCATACTGTGTAAGAATCACTGAGCCAAACTTGGGGTTAGAACCAAAATAAATGGGAAGGGAAAGAAATGTAAAGTTTAAAAAAAAAAAAGCACAATTAGATTTAATTTGAAGTGAGATTTTATTATTTTTATGACCATTTCTAGCCATATTTTTGTAATTTTATGCTAAAACAAAACTGAAAAACTTATACAACGATTTATATATGGAATTAAGAAATAGTTTGGAGGTAGACAATTGAAATAAGAGGAGATAAAAAAAGGGAAGTTGTAGATATGAAATGAAGGTACAAATGTCAAAAGAATGAATTGGCATTATTTCTATTAAGTGGGTGGTATTAACACATTTATGTAGCTAATCAAAAATTAACAGAAAAAAAACCCCCAAATCCTACATGATAAAATATGCCACTTATTTGCATTTACAGTGCTGCTGCCTAATCATGAAATCTGTAATGTCTCTAAGGGTTGAACCTTTGTGCAACTAACAGTTTATGACATAAACTACACCGAACTTGCAAGGAATTGTTTAGAAACTAAATAGGCAACGGGAACAAGATAGTTTTTCAGTGTTTTAAGTTGGAGTCACACTACACAATTATTTGCCTGATTTTACCCCCAATTTCCTGTGGGAAAAAAAAACAAACTACATCAGTCTGCACTAGTTGGTGGCAGTCAGAAGGGAGAGTCGGCCCAGTAATCTGTTAGAGTGAGATGGGGTAACATCAATTGTGATCTGTTGTTTTTTTTTTTTCTCTCTCTTTTTTTAGAAACATTTTTATGTTATTGTATCTTCAACATTATGAGCATAAAATAACTAGTAATATTTTCAAAGGTAAAATTGTTCTCATTTTCAGCAATTCGTAAAATAAAGTGGTTTATTTGAGGGTTTAGCTTCAATATTTGACGTATGAGAATCATGAATACCACACGTTTGACACGTCAGGTCAGTTTGATAAGTCCTGTAGTCTTTGGTCCTGCCACAGGCAAAGTTGGTACGAGTGAGATCCTAAGTCTTTCAGTCAAGAAACATAAAAACTACTTAAAACCAGTATGTTAGTGTGAAATAGTCATTTCAAAATCTGTGAAGACTGTGAAGCAATGTGCTGTGTCCATAGCTTTAGGCCCACAGCTTTGCTGTCTGAAACTATAGCGTGAAAGAAACTGGTAAAAAAAAAATACCATTAGAGAGTATAACTTATCAAGAATTCAATAAGCCTCATGTTTCATGGTCAAAGACTGCTGAGGGAAATATCAGCCCTTTTGCAGCACATTAAAAGAAAATTCTCCTCACTGAGTTTTAGTTTTTACTACATAATGTCATAAACAGCATCTAAAACACACTGTTTAAAAAAACAAAAAAATGAAAAACAAAATATCTCTGGTCAACTTTAAAACCACAAAGTTGACAGTAAAACATATTGAGCTATTTTTTTTTTCCTTTACAAACCGTTTCACCATGTGACTAGAATTTAATTTGCTATAATGTCTTGCAATAGTATTGAAGCAATTTGAATATTTTCATATTTTGTCACATTAGAGACTCATTATACCAAAATGCACCACAGAGGGCCACAGGCAATCATCTCTGCCTGTAGCGTTTACAATGTATAACTCTTGAGTGACTAAAATCAAAGTTTTCTCTGGACTCATTAATAGATTAACATATTTCCATGTTTCATTTACCAGTCATTTTTTTTTTGTAAATACATTTTATATTGTCTGTGGCTATATTTGTATTTAATAATATTTAACGCCTTGGATGGAGCAGCTTGTCAACTAGCTTGTAAATAGAAAAAGCATATTCTATTCTATACGTTAGTGGATTTATTCGGATCTTATGTATTAAGCTAAGATAAAGTACTCACGTTAAAGAGCATCTAAGAAGAGCAAGAAGAAAGTCATTGTAAAAAATAAAATAAAAGAGAAGTAGAAATCATGTAGTGGATCTGGCAAACATGGGAAACTATGCTCTGGTAAGATGAGACTAAAATTGTTCAATTTATTCTCCATTTTTCTACAGTCTTCAGACTGGGGCAGAGGGTTCCTTTTTCAGGTAAGAGCTTCATAGAAAGACTATCATTGAAAATGTGCAGTACTTGTTTGAAAATGTGTTACATAAGTCTGATAAATCTCTTTCTAAAAAGACTTCTCCTTATTAGCAGTTAAATCAGAAGATTACCAAACTGCCTATTTATAAATAAGAAACATGGCACATGAATGTTTTTGAGGGGAAAGGGATTGGAGGGGCCTGCAAGCTAAAACTTTGACAGCATCTAAATCTTTTTTTGTTCATGTCCTAACTTTTTTCTACTTCAAGGTATATATGTATATCAAGACAGAATAAGCCAAAATGAATCTAAACAAACAACAAAAATACAAAATCTGCTTAGATTAGATTAGTGAGTGGCTGTACCCACAGCCACTCTCACTGTCCTTAAGCAACCACCAGAGGGCAGCAGAGAATTATGTTTGAAAAGGCTCAGTTAAGCACAAAATTTGACTTAAGAAATACTAAAGCAGGGCAAATATAATCATTCACTTAAAAACTGGTTATATGTGGTAAGATATTTAATACACTGACAATTTCCGATTACATCATTTATTTCTAGTAGAGGATGTCATGCAGAATTGAAGATGAGAGTGATGCTGATGCTAATTCTTCCATAGTTAGTTTCAAACCCACTGAAGATTTTTCAGTTACGTAAGGATTATGGTCAACTTAGCAAAGGCCAAATCCACCTGAACCAAATGCAGTATTTTCAATCAAAAACAGAGAAAACAGAGTGACTTACATCAAACTCATTGAGGGCAGCAGCCAGCTCTCCGATGCCAGCGTGGCCGTGCTTCTCGTCGGTGGGTGAAGTGGCCTGGGCTGCACTGGAAATGCCTCCGATGGCCTCCTGGACCTGCTTAAACACGTAGTCTCGGTTGGCACGTGTGGCAGCCACGTCTGGGTGGCGCAGGAAGGCCTGAGAGGCCGTGTACAGCATGGTGGCGTTTTTCTTAAGAGCGCCACGAGCAGCTGCCATCTCATCCCGACACTGAGGGTCCTTCAACTCCTTAGGAGGAGACAAAAGTTCTCAGGTGAGCACCACCCAAATAGAGTATTCATATTTTGTACAAAAATATATATGCAAAAAAAAACAAACAGACAATGTTGTAAGAAGAAAAAAAAAAGCTGAAAACTCTTTTGATAGGTTGGAAAAGAATGTCGGCAATGCTAAGTGTCAAGAATTCACAGGAGAGAAAACATGAATGCAACGGTTCCAATCTTTTCTAAGAAGGAAACAAATTCCCGTCCCATTTGATGAACTGGTTTTATTCCAAACACATAAAGCAGTGTCAGCAGATTGGCAGCTGTGAAGCTGGAATGGATCCAATTTGGGGCTTGGCTCTGGATAAAGTTGGCAGCATGGTGGCTGACCTTTGTGAGAAAAAAAAGGTCTAAATACTTCCAGCCAGACTAGTCACCTAGTTTTTGAAAAACTTTGAATAAGTTATTTTCAAACTCAACAGGTTCATTTTCACTTTGAATAGGCTATCTGAATCTTATCACACTGTACAAATTTTTCTTCACCTTCCACCATGATTCTGTCAGAATCCTTGACTAGATCCATTAAAATGCTTTTATTCAGAAGCAGAAAATTAAGCCTGTACACCATATTTTATACAACTACATAAGCAATTTCTGAAAAGTATTAAACAAAAGCCGTGATAGGATAGAAAAGTTGGTAAAGAATACATATTGGATTGTCTTCATTCTTAGCTTATTTTCCAGATTTTTTTAAAGACAGCCTGACAGTTACCTGCTGTCTCCGAGCAGCCACATAGTTAAGTTTCACCATCTCTTTTCCAAACTCTTTGAAGCGGTTTGCCAGGTCCTGCTCATTGGTAGCATTCTTTACTCCCTCCAGAGCCTCTTCAACCTGTCAAATGCACAAGCAAACACTCACACTCAACATTTTTCAAAGTCCCAGAAGACAAAACCTGAATACATACTTTACTTTACAGGGCAATTTTTCTTCCAAGATTGAAACATCCCTGACCCACGTCAGCTTGTACTTCACTAGTTCTCTGAACAGCGGCGTGTCGGTGCCACATAGACGAATAGCAGATTCTGAAAGTCGCAGAGAGGCTTCCGCAGAGTGGAAAATTCATCGGGCACATATCAATTGTGTCGAGATCTGAGAAACTTGAATGGCAGGTCAACACTTCTAACTTGCTGCTGTTCCCTACAAATGAGCTATTCATCTATTGCCTTTGCACGATTATCTCTTGACTTACATTAACTCTGTGAACCCAAAGAATGAAGCAGAAAGAAAGAACAATTAGTGCTCATTTGTGCGAATGATAAACTGGATGACTGAAGACGTCTGCAGGGATGAGCGCTTTACATCACGAACATATTGGCATTTTAAATATTATACATTTATTTCTCCCATCAAGCCCTGAGCTAGTGACATAATAAATGACCAAGTAACCTAAGTTTTTTTAACTGATTACAGTGAGAGTAGTTCATTACACCAGGGCATTTATGGTGATGTCTCATTTCAAGATTCTCCTCCATGTCTCATTTATATGCTAATATGTGTGACTTGGTGATAAAAGCCAATATATGTATATATTGCGCGCGCGCGTGTGTGTGTGTGCGTGTGTGTGTGTGTGTGTCTGTGCCTCTTTCAGCAAAGAAACTCATTATCTCATAAAACATGCATATGATGCTAAAACCACACCTCAGCAAAGGATCTCTGTTTTTTTATTCACTTGGGATGCAATTCTAATTGCATTTTTAAAAGGGTGCCATTATGTATTTTCCAGGCATATAATCCCACTTTATAGCACAATCAAATAACAGTGTTGCCTTCATTTGACATAAAAAATGCTGTATATATTAGGCATACCTTAAAAGAAATTTAATGCAATTTGACGCCTTGGATATTGGTCATGGTCTCTTTAAGTAGCTCCTACTCTTTCCGACACTCCGCCTTTATTACGTCTTCACAACAATGCTTCTCATTATGTCATTTACAACCATTCCTAAAAGTGCTGGACTTAGAAGAAGTTTGCATTATAACCTCAGCAGTTCCATCATTTGGTTGCTAATTGCTGCTGCCTCTAGTCTGGTGGAGCCAAAAGGGGGTAGGGTGGGCAGAGGGGTGCTCTTGAGGTAGAAACTCAGCTGGACACTGTAGCTCCAAAGAGAAGCTTTAAGACATTGCTTTGTGGTGTTCAGACTCCCCCAAACAGCTACTCCAGGAGATTCAAGGATTCTTCAAACATGCATGAAAGATTCAATGCAACACTCCAGGTATGTTATCGACGGTCTGACATGATATAAAAGATTTTACATAATATGCTTAAATACAGCATAACCAACATAATTATTCCTCTAACCACAGAGCTGGTCGATGGAGCTCCATTTAAGATGTATTTACATCACACAGCACTAGTTGCACTTACAATCTTAAGGTGGGCCAGCAGCCTCATGACATCAGCCATGTCAGCAAGGATGAGCAGGCGGGTGACAGCAGACAGCAAGGCGCGAGCAGCCCTCACCATGGTGCCGCGTTTCACAGAAGAGCAAGGGTCGTCAGCAAACTCAGATGAGGCTATGCGCATCGTTTCTCCTGCACAAATGGATTGAGTAAAAAGTGAGGTAAGCAGAGGAGAAAGCGCCATTTATTTGTGTCAGCATGTGTTTGCCCACTAAAATCACCTTAATATTTCTATTATTTAAAGTCAGTTGGATTTACAGGGTCTCAGTAAACCATACGGGTACGAGTGTGAGTATGGCACATAACAGAAGTGGTTCACAATAATAAGATTTTCATACCCAACTCATACACATTACTTACTCTAAACCTTAGGAGCTAATACATCTCTACAAAATATAATGTGTGGGGAAGGAAGGACAGACAGTAATATTAATCATACAAGATTAATGGTGTTGGCTTTATTAATTTTCCATTTGTAATTGATAGTTGTTGACTCAAGAAAGGAACTTCTACTTTATCTTTTAGATCATCTAAAATGTGTTATATCTTTGTCGTTTATCTCGTTAGTTTATCTGCAAGTCCTACAAAGTTAGAGTTCTCCCATAAAAAGATGCCGTTTTACATCAGAAATCCAAATCAAGTCAACAGACGAGCAGCACAGTGTCAAACAAAATAGCAGCAGATGAGAAAAGTTACAGATGTGCAGAGAAGAATCCTCAGAGCCATGGGAATAGTTGTAATTAAAGGTGAAACTGTGAAGATGGAATGCATGTTATTATTTTAATAAGTCCACTTGTGGGTTTCATTTCAACAGCTGAACAGAAGCCAAATTCACTCAGTGCTGTTGTGACTGCAGTGATTCAAGTTATCGATGTGCTGAAGTTATTTATGTAACGTCGGCGGGGCAGATCAGGAAAACAACTCTTGACCCAAAGTCAAATAATAAAAGCACTACAGTATGTTAACAACAAGTCATGTTTCCAAGGATAGATTTTTCCAAAAAGATTTTCAAAAGTGGAAAACAAAAAACACCTTCATATGAGTTAAAATAGATACTTGACATTCCCAGTCAGCTGCTGTACAAAGTGTAGAGGTGACCCTATTATGATCTGTGTCATCTCCAATAAAACCATTTAGTTCTGAATGGTTTTATCATAAATGCTTATTTGACAAGATTACTTTGTAATCTGTCTATATCTGCACTTAATCAATCCCACTAGGGCGCATCACAGTATGTGAAAATCTTTTATTTACTTGAGATTAATTGAATACAGTCAGGAGATCAATGATAATGGATCTCCAGCAAAGTGACACAGTTCAGTGAGATGGGAGAGAACAAGTCAATTATGTTATCGGAGGTCAGCACAATGAGACCTGACAATTGAATAACATCTTGTTTAGTGGGTTTTGGTGACTTCTGTGTAGCAAGAACACATTACTGACTGACTAATAAATGGTTGTAATGAAGATGTTTAAAATCATTCTCTTCTCTGTTGTTAAAATCCAAAAAGCTTTTTGCTTGTTTTGTTAAATACAACAAGGGTCAAGATAAAACACTATAAATCTATACTTCCCAAGTTAAAGTAATGAATTGTGGAGCTTGTTCTTTCACTCACATGGGCTGGTGCCAGTGCAACAAAAGAAAACAAAAGGACAACTATAAATACAGAGTACATAGTACTGAGTGTGCTGGTATGGATGTGTGTGCTTTACATTTCTTATTTGGGATGTTTAGCAATCCTTTTCAGTATCTGTGAAAGTAGAAAGTTCCAGCAAAGCTCTCGTCTTCCTGCCGATGTCTGGCTCACACAGGTCTGTGCGATACAAAATGATTGTTTGTTTCTTGACAAAATCATGAGCCTATGGTTCTACTGTGCATCATAACAGTTTTAGTAGTTGAGAACATGTACACAGATTTTTGCATAATAACTTGTATTTGGCTTTCAAGGGAATTGGTGTTAGCATGCTAGCAGACGGGCTAATAGTTTCTCATGGATTTACATATAAGTTAGTATTAACTGTTAACATTATGCTTATGTTAACTGTGTAGTACCATGGTGTGGTCTATTTGTGTGTGTTTTTGTCGTTTTGCACAGAATTATTGAGCTCACATACAAAGCTACAATTGTTAAGAGCACACAGCAATACACTACAGTGTTTATTTCAGTTTCACAACATTTCTATGGATTAAAGCATTGGAAGTAAATCCGTAGACTGTTCAGTGTCTGTCTAGTAAGATACACATGCAGTCAATTTCACCTTTTGTGAAGACAGAACACCGAGAATGAAAATCTACTTCTAACTCAAGAGACAAGGCGAGATACAACATTGGGCTTGTGAAAATGAGATTAAACAATTCATTTGGTAAAAGCAAACATTAATTTTACTTCTTACATGATTAAGTTTACTTAACCCTGTTCTTAATTATTGTATTGCCTCCTTTAATATCAGAGTTGCTCTAAAAATCGGTAGCAGCCCTTTAGCTAGCAATGGGAAGCTCTGAACAAATGCTAACTTTAGCATCATTGGCAGCTGGGAGTCAATGACATACTACACATACCTTTTCACAAGACACTTTAATTATTTTACTGTTTTAATATGGCATGATCTTGACACTCCAACTCTGTACCTTAACTATGATTAGTTTAAAATCAATAATCCAAACAGAAACAACCAGCGGGTTCAAACTCAGAACTTGTGATGAAATGGTGCTGACTGTAGCACCACTATGCCAAGCACTCACACAAATAATGATGTCAATTCTTAAGGCTCAGTCAGTCGTCAACAGAGAAACATCTCTCTGAGTACAGACAAAAACTGAGTACAAAAAATATCTGCTGTATAGTGTATACCTGAAGAGCATGCTTACATCAGTCTGCCCTTTAGCACTATCTAACTAGATTTTACTAGATTCTTCTGGGTGCCGTCTCTGACCCAAAATGTGTAATTTAATTTCAACATGATGACAAATTTGGTAAGACATAAGTTATGAGCCTCTGACAGATTTAAAGTCTGTTCCATTTCAGTATGGATTCAACTGTGCATGTGCTCCCATTTGGAGGACAGGCTCTCTTGCAAACACCTCATAAGTCCCGTTTGTCACAGCACACAAGTCAACAGTGAACTGCAGTAGCACTGCTGAAAATTCAATATAATAAAAGAAGCTATATTTGAAAATGCTTTTACTTAAAAGGGAATTAACTGTCATTTTGAGAAGATGTGATTTGTTAAAACTAGCTGATCTGCTCTCGACTCAAAAAAAAAGAGCCAAGAAAAAGTGTTGAGCATACTTTCTATGTGCTCTCTACAGCACACACCCATTTTCTCACATGGTTAAAATATAACTGATAATGCTGGGATCAAAAAAGAAGAAAGTGACAACACACATAGATAGGACTGGACAGAATTTAGCATCAGATACTTTATATGTTCAAACTAACAAAGAGAAAATTTGGAAACAGCAGAAGTAAACGTGAACTTCCAAATTATTCTTCAAGATTAGCATTACAGGACAAATGGTGGAAGACCTACTGAACATGCATAGTTGCTGCTAAAGTGAGATGTTGCTTATATGCAAAATGTTAGTATTAATAAGCCCTTTTCCAAATGAAAAACAAAAGGCAGGAAGGGAATATGTTTTAAGCAGAAGCTTTAAACATTCATGATAGATTCACTACATGGTCTTGATTCACTACATTCATAAGGTTGGATGCATCAAGTAAAGCAAAAACACTAATGGGTACCAATCGGTTTGCCCTTGCCAATTCAACTCCCTAAATTCTTCTAAATTTGTGAGGTAATTTGACGTTTGTTGACACTCAAGGATCTTTCCCAAACAGCATTTTATGTCAATTACTCACCGGATCCAGCAAATTAATGTCAGTGGGAACATCATTACTGAACGGCGAGTCACAAGTGCTTCTCATTTTAGTCATAAACTCTGAGCCAGTATAATCTGTTAATTTCTATGAATAAGTAGCTTCTTCAGTATTTTTTTCTCTTGTATAAGCTCTTGTCTTCATGTCCAGAGAAGATTTTTTATTTAATCAGATATTTCCTTAAAAATAAAAGAAAAATCTGACTTTGAACATTTTGAAAATTACGTTTAGAAAAAAAAAACCTATCTACTCTTTCAAACCGAGACAAAACCTTTTAAAGCACCTTTTAATGATGCTTTAAAAGGTTTGAGATTCAGATGTTCTTAAAGAGCAAAAATAATATTGCTTAGAGGAATGAAATGAGTTCCTATATGCCTAAAGGCAAAATGTGATTGTATCCTCTTAGAACTGGGACTGGCCATATCCATCTAAATATCAACACAACTGATGAATGGTGACAAGGTGAATGTTGGTATCTTACTGATACTGAGATGATGAGCTTAATAGTTTTGTTTGCAGTTTCTCTCCCATTTGTCCAGTAAATTACTTGAATTTGTTATCAGAGTTCATGTATTTGCATACGCAGGAATTAAAATGTCAAATAGCAAGAACATATATTTTCAGTATGAGACCAGGATTTTATACTTTTATAATGTTTTTAAATATTAATACGGAATATGAAAACACTTTTGTGTTAACTAATGGAGGGAAAATTATATTCCTACTTGGATTACATGCAGATTATAGTTGGTTAAAAAAAAACTATTGTGTGTAGTAGAAGGCAGAAAGGGAATCGTTTTATTTCTTTTTTTGTTCCATTGTGTTATATTGTAGTTGTTTAATATAAAAAAAAACGTATTTTGCTAATATATTTACCCTGTATTTCATCATAATTATTTTCAACGAACTGACGTCAAATCACCAAGTTATTCAATGATAATGACATTTTAAGAAAAAAATACCCGTATTAATTGGGTAAGTAACTACTTACCCTGTAGTTACTCAGTATCAAATCGACACCAAAATTCCCAGGATCGCACCCCTCTACTTACAGCACAGTTTATATGTCCAGTGTTAGGCAGCAAAAATATCAACACACCTTGTTTGCGAACATCCTCCACAGCAGCAATGAGCTCTTCCTTGAGATCCTGGCTGTCTTTGGCAATCTGCTCACCCTTTTCAAGAAAGTTCTGGGTGGCCTGCTCCACAGATACTGCCAGAACATGAGCCTTCTTAGAGCGTCCCTTCTTCTTACTGGACGGTCCCTTGTTGCTGGTGTTCACCAGAGTCGTCACCTGGGAAACATGAGAAGGCATCACTGTTACTTGAGGAAGAAACAACAAAACATTGATAAAAATGTTTGTGACTTTGTTTTCTCTTTAATAAGAGTATTGTACTGATTTTGGTGATTAAATTTTAATTAATGCCATTGATCACGATGTTTACATTCCTTCATATAGAACTCAACATTTACAAAGCTAATAAAAAAAACTACATAACAGAATCACATTATTTGTTCACAAGTAATTACTTTACTAGAGATTTTAAAAATTTCATAATATGCATTCAAGTGTTGTAATATTGTCCAGTGTTACATATTTCTAAAATGCCCTGTATTGGTTTGTAAATTAGGAGACAAAGTATGTTTGATGTCATCTAAATATTATGAATATAACCAAGTTTAACTTTGACCTGGGTAAAACAGCTCAACATCCCATATTAGTTTTTGTTTTTTTTATGACAAAAGTAAGTTTATAATTTTAACTATTTATTAGAAAAAGAAGAAAAAAAACAAGAAATTTGCTGATGACCAGAATTGGTCAGTTAAAAACCAAAAGGTGTTTTTTTACAATATGTGCTGTCAGTAATAACTTAGTATAAGAACTGAGGCCTCAATGTGTCTCAATGATGTGATTTAATCACTTATTAAAATATGAGTAAAGTAAGAATCTAAACTCTGAAAAGACTAAGAGCAATGTTATGTCCTGTCAAGCTTGCACCACTTCAGGGCTTCTAGCCTGGAATATAGACTTTAATGATGCATGTCCTCAGTCCTGACTAATCTAAGAATAGTGGTGCTGATATGAGACCAAGATAACCTTTTAGGCGTCAGTGTTCTTGTTCAAACAGTCAATTATGATTTTGAAAACCTCCCTTGGCAAATATATTCATATCATGAGTCTTTTTTTTAAATATTACCTTCCCTTCATGACATTGCCGCCTTATTATTTCAAAGCAAATTATAAAGCAACAACTCAGTTACACTTAAGGCGCAATTTGACTGTAGGTTCCTCAATTGCTTTTTCCACAACCTAAAGTCCTGGAACTTCTTTATTCACCTCCAAAATTTATCTGCACTGCTGGAGTGCTGTTGCAATCTAAAATACATCTCCCACCTTCGCAACAGCAGAATCTGTATTAGGATTAAAATCTGTGAAATCAGCATAAATATCAGATTGTTTCAAGGGAATTGCACTTAAAAGTAACTTCCACACTAAACTGCATGAAATTAGATATGCAGAGTAGATTTTAAATGATTTACAACGATCCTAACTTGCAACTGCGGGAGAAAGACAAGGACAGTTCCAATTGGGATTAGATTCAGCGAACCAAAGATATAATTCATAACAGTTTCATGGTTGAAACTGAATTAAATCGAGTTTTGACTTTAATCATCATAACTCAAACTTCAGAACAGTGTAAAATATTCCGACTTCATCCATTAAAATATCTTGAATCGCAAGGCTCTCTACATTATCGTGCTGTGTATTTCTTCGCAATCAAATATCATATTCAAGACCCGTTTTAAGTCTTAACTAACATTCAGGAGAATGTCCAGACATTCAGGAGAATGTCCAGACATTCAGGAGAATGTCCAGACATTCAGGAGAATGTCCAGACATTCAGGAGAATGTCCAGACATCGGTTTGTGCGTTTATGGCAAGCACATTTGGGTTATGAGGCAAGACAATGTCAAAAACCACACCCGAAAATCCACCTCTATATGGATAAAAATGAAATAAATAAATAAATGTTATGTAGTGGCCTAGTCAAATTAAATAAAGATGCTGTGGTATGACTTTACACAGGATGAGCTTATCATTGAGCTCTCTGACAGGACTAAGTTAAAGTAATTTTAAAAGCAAGACAACTGCCAAAAATGTTTTCATTCTTGGATGTCAAAAATGGGTCATACTTTTCTCCAAAAGCCCCAAATTTTTTTTAGGATTTTTTCCCTTGATAAAATTATTTTAGAACTCAATTATGTCTTTAGTCAAAGCATCTTTGCCTAGTAATTATATGCATATTTGCTGTTCTGAAACATGTAAGGGTGACATACAACCAAAAACAGAAAAACTCTGAAAGTGGAAAGTACTGCCCTATACAGGGTCCTGCAACACTCGCCTTTTTGTTCATCTCTTAATATTGTGTACAGTCGTGAAGATAATTTAGCTTTAGGTTGAATGATGACATTTAAGCATCCTTAGGTGCACCCAAGTGTGGCCAAACTCGAAACAAAAATTAATTCAGTGTCTCTGAAATGCAGCCTTACCTTGGCAGCTGATAACTGGCTTTAGGAAACCCTATTTACTGTGAATATTATCAGCATTTTCTGCTGAACCAAATTTATGTACACTACTTTCAACCAGAAGCCTTACCATCCCTGCAACAAACTCTCAGACCCAGGAAGTTTTCAAACATTACAGTCCTGCATATAGTCTGTATAGTTGTCAGAACAGTAAGGCTGTGAACTCTATGATATGCACATCAACCAGCAGAACAGCACCTTACTGAAACAAAGACTCCCAGTGAACAGCCTCATCTCATTTCTATGAGTGGCAGTAAGTCGATGCAAGCCAACATTATGGTTGCTTGTTTGTTTTTAAGAGGTTCAACTACATATTTATATTCCCCCGACATTCCCAATGTCTTATTTTAACTTAGATAGGAAAACTCCAGCCAAGTTTTGCTTTACTATTTTACTTCTGCTCAATGGTTTTAAATGCTATGTGACCTTTCCTCCAGGGTGTACTGACCAGTGGGCTCACCAGTAAGTCGTAAATCCCTATGGCAAAGCGCAGCCATTCAATTTTCTGCCTTCAGCACTCTGAGACCCGTTTTCAATGGATAAGTGATGCTTTAGCGGCTAATGATAAGAAAGGGAGGTTTGCATGCATGTGCATAATCACAATGTTCATGCAAAGCTCTTGGGAGATTCAACCTCCTCCATACAGGTAGTCCTGTAGAGTAGATTAATTTCCTTATTAAGTTAACTGGCCACACCAGCTAACACTGTGATCTTTTACACTACAAGTGAAGTGAGAATTATATGGAAAAGTTCAGTGGTACAAAGCCAAAATAGAAGCTGCTGGAAGATGGGACAAAACATGTTTTTACAATCTGGGGGCTGTAATGCCATCAGTGGCACCAAATGAGTCGTTGTACAGAAACAACCATAAAAGCACACAACATGGAATAAAGACATAAGTAGCAAAAAGAAGCTATATTAACTTTTTATCAAGTTAACTACTTTTTCCAATCAGAAGTAGCTACAATACGAAATTAGACATTTTCCAATCTAATGCAATAAAAAAAAATAGACCCAGGTTAGGAAAATATGCTTTGATGCATAAGTGAGCACAACATTGTAATGTCTTTATAAGATGTTGGATATAAAGCTGGGGGCTTTATATCCTGCCTGTATCAAGGACGCTGTGACAGATTGCTTCTCCTTTGAGTTATAACCAGAAAATCAATCAAACTTGTTGAAATTAGAATCTACCAACCAAAAATGCCTGTTTGGTGCAACTCTACACATATATTTTTAAGTTCAAACTGTGGATTAGTAAGAACTGAATAGATTTCAGGAGACAAAGAGGCAAAAAGTACTGCATTGCAGAAATGTCAAAGTAAGAAAATCTCAGCTTGGTGGTACACACTGGCGGAGATTTTCTGAGAAGACCCCCATGAACATAATTTAAAAAGCATAGAGCCAATGTTGGGAAATAAATTTAACAAAACAAAAATACCAAAGCGTACAGCTGATTCATGTAAAAGGGAAAGTAAAAACATTGTGCAACAATATCTAATTACTGACAACAGCCACATGGTGGAAAACATGCCTATTGTCATTTTTTGATTTGCAACGGTCATGCATATGCATGAGAAAAAGAATCTTTGCCATAAAAAAGTACATTCTCAGGGCAATGGATTATTTCCCCAGTAGAGGTAATGCACTGGAATAATCCCCTAGTGGACAAATTAAATCTTCACTCTCACGAAAAGACAGAAACTCTTATTTATATTCATATATATATCCATACATATATATATATATATATATAACAACATCAGACATCTCAGTCCAGAAATGTGCA